GAATAGAATCAGGGAACTTCTTTGTACGGAGTCCGGTCAAACCCTGGTGGCAGCCATGTTTGTTTTTATTATTAGAGGACGCTTACGCGCGTAATCATTCCATATTTGGAATTCGCAATTTCTAATATGGTAGGATGAAAATACCCCGTAAAATACCGCAAATTTATGGCACTCTGTAACTTATGGCGTTAAGGTAACAGATGTATAATATTATTTATTTGGAAAACTCTATCTAATCATTTAATAATACTTTAGTCACAACGAAGGTTATTATATAGGAACTAACAATGTCTCTGTTTTCCTGTTCACTTCACAAGAAGTTTAATTTGACAAACCGCTTGCTTGATTTCCCTGTATGATTTAAATTGTTAACCTCATCAACTATTTACTTGATAAACTTGTCTTCTATGTTTTAATATACAAATCGGTGGGTTTCTTGTTGAAATAGAACGAAAATAGTGATTTTTAATTGTAATAATTAGTTGGTTAAAATAGTACTTAATGCTAGTATGAAATAAACGTCTTATTTTTAACAGTCTTGTATGTGTTACGATGTTTTATACTACGCAGCTGGAACAAGACAATGAAATTGATCAGTCAGTTGAATTATTTAAAAATCACGCAACTAAACATGTTACATAATCTTCTTGAATAATGAAAGACAGTGTCTCATGCTTCATATAATATTACGTTTGAATACGACAAAAAATCATGAGGCATTGGGATCAATATATTCAATGGCTAACCATTAAAAGAATAATAAGATTGTATTCTATAAAAAAAATATCCATACTCACCATGTCCTTGGAGCGGACCGGGCCATGGATTATTCCTCCTCTTTTCCGCACTCTCTTTAATAGAAACAAATATGGTCAGTTCCACTTTATGGATATGTCATCGTAAGCTAAATGAAATATTGACAATTGATGGCGCTGATGATATCGCATCGAACACGACTCTAATACGCATTTACAACGCCAAGGCCATAACACCATGGCCATATAACAACTTATGGGCTGGATTAATGTGAATTGTATCCACACCTCCAAGGATCTCCGTATACTCATTTATTTATAATTATTGTTTTTTTAATTACCTTCTCTTCAGCACTGACTGTGATGATCACAAGAACAGATAATAAAACACAGCTGATTAAAAGTCTCATTTTGAACGTGTCCTACGTTTTCTGAAACAAAAAAAAAACGAATATATGTAAGACGCAGTACATTGAACTTTGAGCTTCTACGTGTCAATCAAAATAAAATATATAATCATAGATTGGTCATGTTCAATTACACTCCCCCCCCCTAAATAACCCACGAGCCAAGTCCTTATAATTTGCGAAGTCGCCGTATTACTCGCCATACCTTCAGATATTAGAGTTGCGGGCAACGAAACATGGAAACGCATAACTATATCCGCCAGCTCAACCTGCTCCCACTATTTTAGTAACCTAGCGAGTTGGCCTGTAGGGTCTTTACTCTACGCTGGTAATTGATGTAATTATCGTAAAGATTACTTTACACAAGATACGTATCAAGTCAATTGACATTTTCCTTTTCCTGATTACTTTTCCGTATCACGTTACTCGAGGTCTCTGAGCCCAACCGCCGCCACACGCACGTGTCACAGTTATGATGGTCTGAATCATACACGGCCATTGTGATTCATTCATCGTTTATGCAAATTAAATGTCGTTACTTCAGAGACACGGTCCCAAAGAATGTCCCCCATCGCGACATTCTCAGTGAATAATTCACGACATACGTGCAAATGTCTAGGTAGGTAGTTTACCATAGGAAATAGACACATCTGTTACATAAATCGATAAATATGTTCAACCAATCACTGTTAAAAAAAATTAGAAATATAGACATAGACTCAGTCAGTTGTAGCTTTCATTTCTTTTATGGACGCTTATTTTCGGGTGAACAAAGTTATTGTTACCGCAAGTTCGTTTCGTGGTACAATTGAGGCATACCCAAATATGGCCACGAACAACATGTATTTCAACATACATGTACGTGTCTTTCGATATTATCACATTTCTGATCACAGGTTGTGGTAGTTGTGTACAATGCAGACGCCAATCACAAATGTCGTTTTCTGTCTTCGATGCACAATGATTAAGCTTAGATACTATGGAATATGTGTCGTCACGTCACGTACGCATGGAATATGTGTCGTCACGTCACGTACGCATGGGATATGTGTCGTCACGTCACGTACGCATGGAATATGTGTCGTCACGTCACGTACGCATGGGATACATGCTGAGTACAGCACAACGTAAAAACGCTTGAATTAGTATGTGGCCCTCATCGGTTCATAAAAACATCCAAACGCATGGTGCAACTCAAAATTAATCTTTGACACAATACAATACAAATATAGCGAATAATTATGTACAGGCAGCCACACTCTGAATTACGGGATGACATCAGTCTCCGCACATTTCGTTCTTTATGACATATGTTGAACTCGTCGCCCAATTAAACATTTTTTGCACCTATCTCACGATAATTGTATCCGATCCCACTTGCTAGTATCAACAAATACCACAGATTACTTTATAACTCAGCACGTACTTACCTATCATCACTGTCCAAGTCCTATGAACGTACACGTAATTTTCATTAAAAATCAGCTAATTAAGACATTCATTTAGGTTACCATATACGCTTTCTCTAATGCAGCACTGAAGTTGTGGAATGTCTTAACCATAGATGTTAAGCACTATGGTACTGTAACATTAGGAGAAACTTCAAACATATCGGTTTAATCAAGCCTACAATGATTTTTAAACTGTAGAGCGCCTCTAAAAAATTGTGTTTGGATCATGGCGCTCTCAAAATTTAATATTTAGGATAATTAATATCCACGAATTTATAGACCATTGCACTGTGACGTCATTTGTTTGCCAACTAGAATTCAAATATTCAAATATAACAAAAGTCACTCACTGATCAACAATTTGTCAATAAGTTGTTATATTAATATAGAAATATACATATTTAATAACATAAGCAGCAATATCGTCATAATTTTATTTTAGGGTGCTCTTGCCAAATATTTTCTGCGCACGCGCGCGCAAAACGTACAACGACGTAAACTACATGTACTAAACGATCAATGTCGTATTACCATATATTGTTGAATGAAGTTATTAAAGTATAGTGCTACGGACACACTAACTACGATATTATGACGCTATACACGGGAAATTAGGTATATTATCTTAAGCCGGCTTTGAAGTGCATGTTATTTAATCTATAGAATCGTGACAACGTTTTTTCCCGAGAGTCGCGTAAAACACTAGATAAGACAGTCCGTAGGATGAAATGGTGTCTTCATTCTTGAACGAAGATTACAACGTCGTCAATTGTCTTAATGCGTGTCAATCTATTTAAAGATTTCAGGCCGCCCGTGTATCAGTTGATTGCGTTCATGGAATTGCAATTGAGTATTAAAAGCCAGGAGTTTTGTAATTTGTTGGACTTGCACGTCGGAGCTTGCCACTCAAGACAACTTCTTCACGTCCGGACACGTTATGGATGAGTTAACTCTAATCCAGTATACACCTGTATTGACTCTACGATTGGCATTCTTTAACGTCGATTATAATAGTTATGTAAACTGGCGAAAAACGTGAGTTTAATACCTGCGTCTTCAAAGACATGTGCATAATCAATCAACAGGCTGTGTTCAAGTACATATCAATCAAATGTCCTTTTAAAGAGTCTCTGATACAATATATTAAATTGATATAAATTAGTATATTGGTTGAAGTAGTACTATTTAATCACGGACGAAACAAAAGCCAACAAAAGTTCTAAGAAAACGAAATACGTAAAACAAATTAATCATATTACACAATTGTTAAAGAACAGAGCTGGATATGCTGTATAATGTTGTGATACTCATCTGTACATTCACCCTTCGAAAATAGGTTTCAGGATAATCACTTTCCAATTCGTTTGAGGTTTGTGATTACGTCATCTTATAGTGACGAAGCAATGCAATATACAGTGTGCTGAGACTGATACAAACAGTAATTTCGTTTCGCTTACCGTAAATATACCCGAGTTCATATTTTGATAACTTAACGTTGAGTTGACGAAGTTAATTCTTACCGATGAATACAGAGAAGCGACGAGTGGAAAGACGCACACGTCATACGGTGCGAACCTAATCTATTGAGATTAGCGGCAATATTGATCAACCAACCGAAGTAGGTAATCACACAATTATCTTGCCGTCGAAACTCGACAAAAGGCACGTAATGAATAGTGGCGGCGTTACTGGTTCCTGGCAATAGCGTGACATCGTGATAGTCAAGGCTTTCATATTTTACAAGCTTGCGGCTGCTGCTATAAGTCACATCGGCCCTATTCACTTATTATCAACAAGTTTATCGCAGAGAAATTATTTTTGGCCAACACGCCTGTGGTACTTTAAAACAATGTTTCGTGTTTAGCAAATAACACAAATTAATTGCGGGTCAGATGTGCAGATCGCTAAATTTATTATGTTTACGTTAGAAAGTTGTGATGTTAACAATGTAGAGATGTAACCAGAACAATAACCATTTTGCCATTTAATTAAATCATGATACTTGTTGATGGTCGTAAGGATGCAAATGTATAAATAGTCTGTCAGATATTGTAAGACTCAGTTGAATCCATAATGGTGTTGAATAACAGAACCGATACTTGAATCTAATTCAGCGTCTATCACATTGTTACCTGTATTAGTACTCCTTAGTACTACTTAGTGTTAGAACTCTCAAACATTTAAGATATTATTCCCGGAATTACAGCAGTATAACCTTAGCAATGACGTTGTTGCGCGACATTAAATGCTTGCATGATTGTCTAAATTGTCCGATCGATAGGTAAAATATTTCAATTGGTATATATGTTTATACTCTATGTACCCTGCGTGACGGGACAGTGACTGTTTTTAAAGGTCTATGTACTATACAACTAAACATTTCTTTGAAGCGTCTATCGTACATGTCATACTGAGATAAATCACGGAAAAGTGCTCTCTAACATATTTGCACGTAGAGATGAATATCTTCGAATCGGCTCACATATATTTATGAAGCCATGTTATCCCAGATTCGTGTATAATGCTATAACAGTGTCTTTTCTTCGAGGTAATTTTAATTTTTTTAATTGTGAAGTAACTTATTAACAGAGTTGAAATGGATGGATTATATTTAAAGGATGAAAACATGTATATGGTCTATTTTGATATAAAGTCTTGAAGTCTTTAGGAGAAAAAGTTGATTCTATGGTTGTCTTAATCTCAAATTCAGTAGGACATATATTTGAAGTAGAAGTTTCACTTTGCTACTGTCGCCAAATCTTTTATTGTTTTACTTCATAATTACAAGTATTTTACAACTTTTATTCTGAATACGATAATTATATGTAATATTTCTCTCCTAAAATGATATATCTTATATTATACATCAATTGAAAACAAGAAATTGTTAGTTTCTTAGAATCCGTAGATGTGCATGAAGTGTTTTTATTCAAATAAGGTGTCAGTTGCTTAACACCATGAAAATGCCTGATTTTTCAAAAATAATAGTAATATAACATTGGATCATCTAATAACGTTTGCAGCTTTGATCGATTGTGATAAAGAAAATATATTTTGCTCCTTCTTTGACGCAAAGACAAAAATATATATGAGATTGAGGGATTTAGTTGTATCAATTTTAAGTTCTGTATATATTCAGCACATGGTATAAAATATATAAATCATCTAGGAAGCAAACACAGTTTTGATTCGTTAATGATGCTAAAATTGTATTTATTTTTTTTCGAATTATGCGTGCCAGCCAAATGACAATATAGTGTAAAGATTGATAAAAAGCCATTACCTAAGGATATATAAACATAACAATGGGAACTGCTTGTATTAAAAAACCTGAAAATGACTTTTGTCTACCGTGTTTTTATTTTATCATGCAATATACCGACAGAAATTCAAAATTTCATTACAGGATTGAAGATAAGTAGTAACAACTGAAGCCTGGCAACATTAATTGGGAGCGAGATTGTTCAAACTATCGTCACATTCAACTCAAATGCACGTAATGCGCACAGTGGAGGTAATAAGGCGTGCAACGAAGGCGACAAAGACATGTAGCGACGCATGACATTAAAGAAACAAACAGTGATTTTTACGCGTGTTTTTAAACTAATAGTACCATTATGTTATTGGCATTTTATTCCTCAACTAATGTTCTTATCACACCATATAGCCAATTTATTTTTACCCATCCTTCAATACGAGTAACAACACTATTGCATGGAAGCTCGCGGTGATCTGAAAATCAATTATAACACTAAGTCGCATGAGACCCACCAACGACTGTATATATGTTTATAATGGAATTTACACGACTAGTAGTACATTGAACAAATTGTGTTCATTGAATATTTTTCCTTTAGTTTCTTTTGTAGAAACATGTAAGTCATAATATATAAAATATTCTCGTCGTATTTTATTTCTAATCAAAAATATAATGCTATTATCTAGCCGTTGAAACGACGGTCGTGCTTAGACTACGGCGAAGCAACGTGAGTTGCACACCCGGAATGTGCGATATATCGATATATCGATTTCTCATACAATCACGCTGTTTAGCATTAAGTATTGTTTTTGTGTTCGTTCGGTGTTGAACGGAAAATTGTCCAAAGTACATGCACTAGTTTGTAATTATAGATAACACTTAAAGTAAAAAACAGAAGTTATTGAAACTTACCTTATTACGAAATATACACTAAAATCCAAAACTACTACCAGTAAGGTTGTCGCTCCAACAATGATGTTTATGTTCCTTCTGCGCTTATAACCCTGGTGGAAAACCTTTTAAATAGATATATGCAAATTGACTCCGCCTCCTCAAGGAATCTAGTGCGCCAATCAACACAAAGCCGTGCCGCATATCAACGACATTGATTTAGAGCAGCCATATTCAAGGAATCGTTTTCATTTTATGCTAGGGAGTGTAATGCGATAGCAACGTTGATTCACCAT